ATTCAAAAGTTTTACTTACAAGTTTTCCAATTATAATTGTACCACTTATATTAACATGGAGGGATAGTAAGATTTAATTGATGTAAAATTATATGTAGATCTAACTCAATGTTCTTCTAAACATTACTTCTCGAGTTTACTAATAATAGTAAATTATACAAAACTTAGTTTCCTTGAGGGATTCTTCAGTCGGAAGCTTCCGGCTTGTCATCGTTGGTATGGGTCCATAAAAAACATCAATAAAACACAAAGCAACAGGAACAAAATTAAACAAACAACCATGCAATAATCTTAACACAATTACCTTGAGAACATGAACATCAATGATAGCTGAAGACACATTCATAGCTGCATTTTTCATATTTATTATCTAAGTGTCTGAGTATGTTGCGTGGAATTTGTTTTAGCATTGCGAACTGAAACTTGATACCATTTTCCTGAATTTGAACTCTCGAAAAACACTGAACAACTATGCTTCTATGCATGCTCCATTGAAATACAACACTTATATTCAGATATAGATCTACATCAAGCTCTGAATCATAATCTACAGATGACAAGGATACTGTTTAAGAGTGAGTGAGTTTAGTTTTACGCCGCATTCAACAATATTCCAGCTATATGGCGGCGGTCTGTAAATAATCGAATCCGGACCAGACAATCTAGCATGAACATCGATCCACGCAATTGGGAGACGATGACATACATGCTTGTCAGCCAGGTCAGCGAGCCTGACAACCCGATCCCGTTAGTCGCCTCTTACGACAAGCATGGGTTACTGAAGTCACATTCTAACCCGGACCTTCACGGGTTACTGTTTAAGATATCCCATTCAAACATTATTCCTCTTTACTCCATATATCAATTTTCCAAATATTATTCTCAGCTAAACAACGATGTTTACATAACAAAAACATTCGACAAACAATCGTATCTATCAACTTTAACTTTTGATAAAATACGAGACATGAGTTGGAAAATCACGCAAAATCAAATATTTTATCATTTTTTTTAAAAAAAGCCCAGTTTTTTCACGAACTTAATAGTGTGCTAATAGACCATGGACTATGAGAAGGGCGGGTAACGTCACAAGCTAACAACTGATTCAAATGTGACTTAACCTCATCAAACATGGAAGGCGGAATGCGTCTACACCTCTGCTTAAAAGGGACATCATCAGTCAACTCTATCCTATGCTTCACTGCAGATGAATGACCCAAGTCTAAATCATCTTTCGAGAAAATGTCACAATAACTTGAGATGAGATTTTGACCTAACCGTAACTCCTCAGGTGATAGTGTCTCTGTTTCAATCTCAGTGCCCTCATGAAGTAGAACAGACAAACCATCTACACCACTAAGTCCAACTACCTCACTTGTATTACAAGTGGGAGACTGCATATCCTCTACAGTAACTGGATGTAACTCACACAAAACAGACTTTGGAGGAACAACCACTGTCCTTGTTGTAACATTGTTAATACCCACTTAAACTGGCACATGATGGTTCTGAGAATAGATAAACACAGTTGGTTCAATGTCCAAATCACTAGGAATGACTGAACGGGGTGTAGCCTGCAACAGTGCACATGTCTGAGCACAACTAATGCGCTTATCAATAAAACCTTCAATGATCACACTACTGTTAGCAGGTATAACAATAGACTTTGACTCAGCACTTTTCACCAGAGCTAATCTGTAGTTCCGTTTCTGCAGTTCCTTATTCCGAATTACAATAGTACGGAAAGTGATGTACCAAGAGGTATGAATATTTGCATCCTGCAAAAACCTCGGACCCCTATCATTTCTACACCTGTCTATAATAGTCTGTAGTATGTTGGTACCCAACAGAATAGGAACAGTATGGTTATATCTGCTATCAGGTACTACCAAGAACACACAAGGTAATGGAGTCATATTGTCTACACCATGAGCCACTATATCTGTGATGACATATCCCAAATAAGGTAAACTTTGACCATCTGCACATTCTATCTCAAGAATTGTCTTAAGTGGATGAAGCGGAATATGACGGAAGTGTGAATTGTAATGACTTTCACTCATAGTGGAAACTGTAGAACCTGTGTCTAGCAAAGCCTGACTATAAACTCCCTCAACAGAAATGCTCCCTTCAGTTGGCTCTCCACAAAGACCTGTTGGCAAACCAAAACCAGGTGGGGACAGTGATTTACTATGTGGGTTTACGGACGTCCCCTTCTCATAAACCCTCTCCTGTTTAAACCTCTTCCCCTGAAATGATCCAACTTCACTCTGGACCCATACTGCACATGACCATATTGTCCACAACGATAACACTAAACACCCTGATCATCATCCTCAACAACATCACCCTGAACAGTAACATTGCCTGTAACTTCGACCCTGAGACCAACGACCTCGTGACCTAGAACTGGGTTTACCTGAGGTGGAAACATAATCACGCAGTGATTTAACCTCAGCAGCAAGTTGTTTTACAACACCAATAAGTTCGGAAGTGTCTGAAGATGTAGCAGCTTTAGCAGTTTGCTTTACTTTAGGAATGTCAGTGTTAACCATCGTGGAGGAGCGTGCTTCGTCCATACGTCGCATCTCGGCTCTCAAATCATCAAAAGATTTAACTGAATCAAACTTATGACCAGAAGCATCTTTAAGAGGTTGCAACATACCTTCCCAAAATACAGAGCATAGTGCTTCTTGATTCTTATGCAATGCACCATCCACGATGGCTCGAGCATACAGCTCTTCCACACGACAACCCCATTCCTGAACAGACTCTCCCTCGCTCTGTTTTGCACTATAAAAGGCACCAACCAAAGAGGTTTTCTCTTGTACAGTCCCATATATACTGTGAACCTTTGACAACAACTCATCCACACTGGAATCAGTACTCATACAAAGCATGATGTTACTCGCTTTCCCTTTTAGCGACCGAATGATAGCATTCTTAAGTACAGAAGGAGAATACTCCTTGTCATGTAATAACCGATCAACTTCATACCGCCAAACAGCATATGACACCTCACCCTTGCCTGTCTCACCCATAAATGTCGAGATCTTAGGCGGCTGGTTAACTGTGATAGAAGGGACTACTGATGCTGATGGAGCAGGAGACACTCCCTGAGCTGCCAGATAATCTGTCATCCAACGTTTAAAAACATCAGGATTATCAGCCTTAGGCTTAACACCCATCTCCTCTATGGTTTTTACTAGAATTTTAACATCTTCCTCTTCCATTGAGGCCATGTTTCTAGACCACACACCAGACCCTAGCCAAAATATTGCAGCAAGGAAGACCAGAATAATACATAACCCCATGAAGTTACCCCAAAACCTAAACAATACCTAAGTCTAATTGTTACTTTAAGTGATAACCTACATCTTGAGTGTCAACCTTGTCTACACACTAGAAGTACTAGCAAGTGGCAGTGTCTAGAAAAATGTATGGTGCAAATCAGTTAAGCATGTCAAAGTGGTGTCTTAGTCTGGATTTTTGTCTAAAATGAATGACACAGATTTCACATGACAACAACTAAAATATAACAAAATCAAGGCAAAAACACATCAATACATACAGCCTCAAAATACAATCACACTTTCAAGAAATCGCATACAGCATATCACTAATACATGAATAAAATTTGGTACAAGGCTACATGCCTGAAACAGTCAGGAGCAATAAATAGCTCACAGGCATAACATGTCGGTAGCCTGGAAACTTACTGTCTCTCTCCCAAACAATGTATTCAGAAATACGACTGAATTTAAAGGGAGTACGGGTGGCAATCACATTATCACAAGTTCATGGTTATGTCATGGTCTCACAGTCTCTGGTGGTAGTTCACACGGTGACTCTGAAGCGGTGGTCCAGGGTGGTTGACAAGGTGCTCACAGCTCACAACATTCCTCACTGGGGGCTCCAAATTTGTAACGGGGATGGCTCTTTCACAATGACACAACTCCGTTGAGGCTGCAAGTTCCTTTTTATTACTGTAGATTGTATATAATAATACAAGTCTGAAACAATGTATATGAATATATAACATTCCATCAAAATACCTATTTTATCCCATTCATTCATTTCATTGCACATTGTTCAGATAATTAACAATCACAGCTCTACCACTGAACAAATAAAAATAAGTCAAAACAAATTGACATCACAAAATTAATGGTTCAGTTTCATATTAAGATCCTTATGATTTATGGAACACATTGTGCATCTTCAAAACAGTGAAACATCAACGTGTCTTACCATCTATGGGACAACTTGCTTCAAACTGGCCACATGTTGTGGGGCACCAACAAAACACCAAGAACCTATAATATGTATGTTTTAATTAGCATGGAAATGCTAATTCTCACCAGCAAAGTAAACGTACAAACTGTTTGGACTCAAACATTAATCTGAATCAATTGTAAGTGAAATTATTGACACCAACAATTTCTAACCATAGGTCAAAATATACCTCCACCAATTGCATAGATTCAGTTACAAGAAATACTGAATTAACCTTTCAACAATTAAACATATTTTTGTAGTTTATTCCTTTTAAATAAAACCAAATGTAACTAACCTGTAATTCACCAAAGTCACAATCCACCACCCATGACTTTCAAACCACCTTGCCAGGTTGGGAGAAAGACAGCAAGATGCTGCACATCTTCAGCCAATAAAAACCAAGGACAAGACAGCAGACCTGACCTCATTAAGACTTGGCTACTTTTGACCCATGACCCAGTGGTGACTATAAATAAATCATGGACTTGTGAAAATGTAAACCTTTTCACTGACAATTGTATTATTGTTTAAGGTGTTATTAATTGATTCCAAACAGGAACATAAGACAAGACATATTAAAATAGATTACTTTTCCAGAATATTTTACTATTTGTATATTTTGTACTTGTTACATACTTGTATTTGTTACACACTTGTTTGTACTTGTTACACACTTGTATTTGTTACACACTTGTTTGTACTTGTTACATACCCACGAAATCAGCATTGATAAAGTGGGACCGACAGACGACATCGTGTGTTCCTGGTTTCCACAGATTCTTCGTATCCGCATCAACTCTTCTAACGGCAACGCGCCATTTCTGTCGCAAGTCAAGGTCTGTGGGGTATTTGTGTCTCCCTATATTATTTTTACAACATTGAACAGAGCAGTATCTCGGCATGTTTGCACCACGGTCGACGTAATCGTCGATACGAGCCATTATGAAAGCTGACATGCGCTTTCGCGTTGTACCGACGTGTACACCTGTGCCACCTAGCGAGAAAATGTTGGTGGTGTCTCCCATTACACATTCGTCAGCACAATACATATTTTAAAAGTACATGTGTGTGTGTAAATGACTCAATGCTCACTGTTATAGGATACAACCGCCTGACACGATAGGCTCAAAATAGCACAAACGAGTTGTGTAATAATCGAATCACCAGCAACTGAGCACTGAACCGAATCATTTCAAACAGACGTTCAGTTGGCCAGACACCGTAGGACATTCAAGGTAAGCCTGACTAAGTTTCTTTGTGGTGGGTTAAAAATTCAAATTCTTAATGTCTATATTTACTCGTACAATGTTGAATAAATTAATATTACTATTAGGTATAACTTATGCCTTGGACACGAACTTACGTTCAGGGTGATTCACAACGATCACAACTATGACGAGTTATAATGGCGACACTATTCCGGAAATAAATTAACGAGATTTAGTGAACATCTGTCTTTTCCAAGTAACAAATGTTTTACATACAAACGGAGGTAGGTGCCACCATTATAATGCTGCTGTAAATATTACTTTGCGTAAACTGGCGAACACATACTGAGGTACATAATAAGCAAGTGAGGTTGCAGAAGTCTGGAATTTACCGTCACGTTCAAGAATATTCTACTCATATAGCTTTGCGTGTGACTGCAAGTAGTAATCCTTACTTCTAGCGGCTTGAAGCGTCAGCCTACTCAGATACCATGCTGCAATTTAACATTGCTACCCAACTCAGACACAATAAAGTGACTTCATATCCTTGTTTTAACGTCTAATGCTCAGCTGCATGCTGTTTATGTGATTAAAGCGAGTACGTTTTCAATAATACAGTTTCTTAATCATTACTGACTGGAATGAAATACACAATCTTTGTAGAGTTTATACAGGCTTTGAATACAACTCGATTGCTGGACTATATTAAGCATGATACATTCACAGGAACGAGGAAATAGTTTTTAACAGTAAATATAAACCCAGTGATACGAAACTAAATAACCACTTCTGCTTTGTGTGTTACTTAGATAGCCGCGTGTGGTACATTAGGTTCAAGTTATGAAATGCTGACGAAATCAAGTTAGTACTAAATTCTTTCCAAATGGAATATAATTCATCTACGTGTGAATACCACATCCATACCATACACCAACAATCCAATGGTAACACCCCTGTGGATATTTCCTTTGGTATTTTGTACCCGTTTTGCGTTGACTTATACTATATCCAGATGATATTGTATATTTTCCGGGGGAGATAGTTTATCTTTAGGGTATGAAATATATAATGTTATACCAAGGCCTTTTCATTTGCGATTACTTGTACCAAGCGTTTATTGGGGAATAAATAGAATAGTAAACTGAACTAGTGTTCGTGTCAGATCAAAACACATAGTATCGAGAACATATTTCGCTGTTCTCTGTGGCGTTTTGTAAACTTAGTACTTTTTTATAATACAGTTGTTGATTGTACAGGCTTTCCTTCTTGTTTTGTTTGTGGTAAGGTGAAAGTTACCTTAAATTAAGCTTCTAATTGTAAAATGTTGTGTAATGGTACGTCATGCAGCTTGAACATTGCTTGGCGTAGCATTGAGGAAACACAGAAACACAAAACATTATTAATCCCTCAAATTCGACTTAAATAATTGTGGGTAGTTATTATGAATATGCCTGATACATTTTCACATTTAAGCTTACAAAATCTTCAGATATCACTCCTTGTACCGGTTTAGATAGGAGTTGCTCTAGAAAGACTTTATCAATTTAGTTCAAAGAGGTTACGTTTAGTTGAGGATGAGACATTACAAACCACTTTTCAGACACCTTGAACAACTAAACTTTGCAGGATTGCAAACATAATATACAAAAGATAACCTAACCAGTAGACCATTGTGTATCGTATAAAGCTGTCGTTGAAGGTATTGTGTTATTATGTAAACAGCTCGGAAATCATTTATTATGATAAAATCAAATACATAATGATCAATTTAATATTTGCAGGATGGGAAAGACACAATCTAAAAGTACACCACAGTGCACTGTATACATCTGGCTGCCCGATGGTTCACGCGTTGGTCATGCATCACTGGAACTGGCAGACGGAACGTACATCAGTTGGAGGCCAAAGGGTGAGAAATGGTGTGACGCACCTGTATCACCGGAACTGGCAGACCGAACATACGTCAGTTGGTGGCCAAAGGAAAGAAAAGGGTTGAGGTTTTCAGTACCTGGAACTAATAACGCCCTAATGGACGACATCAGGGAAGAGGGCGAGCCAGACTACACACTATATTTCCCTTCATACATCCAACTGCACCAGATGGCTATGAAAGGGTGGTGGCAAGAGTTTAAGAATGAAGGGACGTGGGATATCAGGAAGAATTGTTGCTGGGTGGTCAAAAGAACACTTATTGCTGGAGGCATAGAAAGATATGTTTACATCAATAAGGTGATCATTGATAACCCAATAAATCTAAAGAAAGTACTGAGTAATATTCCTGGCATTGACATCCGAACTGGGAGGTCGATCAAGGATATTAGAAAAATTCTAATGCTAAAATTGTATGAGGCAAAAAAGTTTGTGATTGCAGGGATCTTAGCATTCGGAATTTGGATGGTTTTGGAAGGATCCGACTAACAACTAATTCAAATTGAAACATCAGCTTATCCTCCAGCGGCCTGGACCAGATGACTATAACAAAGAAGCAGTATTTTTAACAGAGTTTGTCACACAGGAGCTGTAATAGGAATTCGAAGGAGTGCACATCTTAACACTGAACTTTGTTTGTGTGGACCTAAACCTGCTCCGAGATCGGAGATTCCATTAAGGAAGTGTTTTTGCTCAACCACTCTACTTTTTGGCCAGGAATTTTGCAAAATCGTGTGTGCGAGGACATAGACATAATCTACAGAATACAAATAACCAGTTGAAAGTTTATCACACGACCATAAAGAATGGTTCGTAAATGTCATGTTTGTTTTCTAGCTATTGTCTTGTTGTATAATTCAATTTGGATATGTAATTGACTACGATCTGTGATTGACTTACAAGTGCAAAATAAGATGTCGACCATTCTTTCTGAATAATGTTTTATGGTTCTAACTACTTTTTCGTGATATTTATATTTGCGCAGACAATCAGAGACATATACGTTGTTATCCATTTAAAGTTTCATGAATGTCTATATGGAAATATATACTGATCTTCACGGGTCCATTCGTTTTGGATATACATTGGTTCACATCATACACCAAATATACACTTTGAAGTACCTTAGAAATGCGACCAGAGTAAGTCGGTGGTAATGAGCGCTGTTGGATCTAAAAGAAACTAGGTAACTCTTATATTGCTGGATATTGTGGTTATGTTGTTATAGTGCGCCATTTGTTCTTTTATTCATTAAAAGAAAGTTTAACATTCCATACACTAGTATTCCCAATTTCTATTATTGTATAAAATAAACGTGTTGCATATTTTGACTATTTCCTATTTTCACATTGCCACAGTCTCTGTTAAAATAAGAACGCCTCAGGACTGTTCAATACAAAGACCAAGCCTTAATTAGCTTAAGTGCACAGAAATCATAAATAAACATGAGTGGGCGGAGCTTATGTGACCACGTCATACGTGTTTCGTACGCACTACTTCTCTCTTGAACACGGAAGTGTCTTTACTTCAGCTGAGTCGTGTAAAGTTGAATAGCGTGTAATGAGAGTGCATTTTCCCCTACAACATAACAAAAACAGCATTTCCTTCCATAGTTACCATTTATAAATATTAAAGAAAATATAGCAATATTCAAATGTTTGTTAAAAGTTCGATCGAAAATTTGCAAGGGACCGTTCATAATGTATAGCTGGGCTGGGATCGAGTGATGATGATTGTTATGGAGAAGCACGTACAATGTGAATAACAGTCAAAGTGCATGTCCATGTATACAAAATTATGCTCTCTCTCTCTCTCTCTCTCTCTCTCTCTCTCTCTCTCTCTCTCTCTCTCTCTCTCTCTCTCTCTCTCTCTCTCTCTCTCTCTCTCTCTCTCTCTCTCTCTCTCTCTCTCTCTCTCTCTCTCTGGGTGAGTGTGTAACTTTAGAAAATTAGAGAGAGTGTGAATTCTTCTGGTTGAGTGTGTAACTTTAGAAAATTAGAGAGAGTGTGAATTCTACTCTTTTAGGTGGGGTGGGGGTAGCCTAGTGGTTAAAGTGTTCTCTCATCATGCCGAAGGCCCGGTTCGATTCCCCACATCAGTACAATGTTTCAAGTCCATTTCTGGTGTCTTCCGCCATAATATTGGAATATTGCTAAAAGTGGTGTAAACCCATACTCAGTCTTTTAGCAGGGTGGTGGGTTGTCTGCAGGAATCCCTGTTGGAACTGAATTTGGTGTTTGGTAATCAATTCTTGGGTTATGTGCCATGTTCTTTATCAATAAGGCCAGACCAATGTATTTCTTGTTTTACATATTTTTGTCCTCAGAAGAATTTCTTGTAAGTTTACATTTTTGACCAATAAAAACATTAGGATTTTATTTTTTGAGCGGGGAAAATTCACTTTTATTTCTTTTCGTATTCTGGAAAAAATACAACTGGAGGATAGTAAAACAAGAAATAGAATTGGTCTGGTCTAAACTTGAAATATAGGTGTGCTTATACAGTATGCATGAGAAGCAATGTATACAGGACACCTTTAGCACAGTTTACTAAAGGTAAAAGATGCAAATGTGTTATGTGATTGTTAAGATATCAGAAGTTTAAACATTTGGGACATCTTTGAAATAGTGTGAAATGAGAGATAGTTGGTTATGATGCCTCTATCAGTATCATACCAGTCACATCCCAATCAAGGGCATCAACTTTATATATTTGCATTGGGGTAGGGAGTCAAACAAATGCCTGAGGCGTCACATAAGTTTATGCAGCTGAACATAGACAAGCATGTGCAAGGTGAACATGTCACAGTGGACATTTTCTGTCCAAGTATAGACATCCATCAAATCCTGCATGGTGTTAGTTGTTTGTGTATTCAGAAATGTTGTAGAGCATCAGCTGACCAGATAAAAACTGACCATTGTCAGATTTCCCCATAAAATGACAAAAAGAAATTAGTTTTGTTAAAGATGTTTTATTACTAAAATACAGAGCAGCCTGTCTTGAAATGGGACAGGCAAGAAGAATACTATGAAATGTAATTATATGTAGTACCGAACTCATTAAGTTGGTTCACACACATATCTTTATGTCTGTTGAAAAGACTCTTACAAACAATTGGTTTAGCCTATAGCTAGTGGTTAAAATGTTCGCTCATCACCCAGAAGACCCTGTTTTGATTCCCCACATGGGTACAGCCCATTTCTGGTGTCCCCCGTCGTGATATTGCTGGAATATTGCTAAAAGTGGTGTAAAACCATACTCACTCACAATCACCTCAAATGTCACCCTGAATGTTGACATAGCACTAACATTAAACATGGCAGTAATTATAACCAGACATGAAAATAAGGAATACCTTGCATCATATATGAGTAATAATAAGTGAAACATGTTTTACAGCTACATGAACACTGACATCAACTTTAATGATCATGACCAAAACCTTCAAAGAACAGGGTATCCATTTGAAAGAAGAAGGCACATGTCATGTTTAATTATGCATGTGTGAATTCCTTCTTAGAACCTGTGTTGTCTTGTGACATGAACATTTTACCAAAACAATTCCCGGGACTAATGAAGAATAATCTCATTAATCTTTGTGTTGTAGTTATTATGGAAACAACACTGTTTCACTGGGCTGCACATCTTGTTTATAAATTATTACCTTTATCAAATGATTTGGTATGAACCCATGATACGTAACTACATTTAACAAAATGTCCTCCAGAAACAAAATATGGCAAAATCTGGAGCAACAAAAACTGACAAAGCTGAATATTTCAAGATGGGGTAATTTTCTTTTTTCTAAGACTAACAGCATACACATTAAATAGTTAGATGTAACATCACATGTAAGACATTATTCACATATCATGAATTACACATATAAAACTTTCTTCGTTCTGGCAAAGGGCAACAGTTTTACATGCCTTCCATGGCAGACATGCAGAGACGTAGTTGCCAGTATGTGCAGCCTTAATTAAATACTAACTATCACAAAAGTAATATAACAGCCAGTATCATGAAATACAAGAAATATGGCATAACTTTACTATTCCATTGTTTACTACATGCCACATATACTAATATCAAACCATCAAACTATATCAAATCATACTTATAAATCACACATTGTCATGCAGTGTAAAAAAAATGTCACTGAAAAGGTGGTCCAATTGTTCAGCAGGACAATAAGCACAAATGGGGAACAGAAAAGCACAAAATGTTTGTGTGGGAAAATTAATGGAAACTTCTGTTCTGCTGGCAAAATAAATAACAATTCTTGCTGAGACTATTTTACTGCTTCAAAACAGAAGTTCCTTAATTTGTCTCCATTATGGAGGTGTTACTCAGCTGACATCAGAATGCCAAAACAATTATCAAAATACATCATACAAATCAGTAAACTGCATAATGAATGCACTTGAATCATTCCTGTAGTCCATCAAGATAACTGTCATCACTTGTCATCTCCATGATGGGGACACCTCTTCCTGGTACTTGGTCAGCATCATATGCTGTTGATTTGCATTCTGGTTAACCTCTCGAGGTAATATGTGACTGCTCTGAAGTACAAAAAGATAGAAGTGTTTTTATTTATATTGAACAATTTTTTATGGATAACAACCTTTTTTTATTTTATAAGTGTGACGTTTTGATAAGATTTTTGTACCATTGTGAACGAATGCTTGGACAAGGTGAACTACCATAAATGTATGTCATGTACCTCCATCACAATATTTGGTCATATTTGGGAAACTGTGTTATACATCAACCGAGATACATTAACTCAGTTAATATTTTATGCTTGTTAAAAAATAGCAACAGTCAGTTTCAATGCGATAATAATAGCATTAGCAAGCTAATTTACTTTTGGCAGTACAAACTTAGTCCAACAAAAATCACAAGGGGGAGGGGGGAGAGGAGTTTGATGATTTTTATGGAGAAGCATGTACAATCTGAGTAACTTAAAATTTATGTACAAAGGAAGTGACCCCCCATGTACAATTACAATTATGCCCCCTCCCTCGCCTTCACATTAATTTGTATATTTATAATTTAAATATAATTATGTACAAAATTGCTGACCCGCCTGGGTACATGTGTACAAAATTCACGACTACCCCTACCTCCCAGAAGAAAACAGGTGACCCCTCCTTAAAATCATAACCAACCAAATAACCAACCAACCAACCCACCCACCCACCAACCAACCAACCAACCACCCACCACCCACCCTTAACCCACCAACCCACCCTCTGT